CGACCCTCCGCTATGGTAAGGAAGTGGTGGGTGAGAGTGGGCACCCATTCAACTATCATTTTATAGGCAGTTTCTTTATACCCCACCTATGTAACGAAGCCGTGAATGAGACATACTAGCGAATCGACCGACTGATTGTTATACATATAATATATTAACAATATATATATATATATATATATATATATATATATATATATATATGTATATATATATATGTAAGGTGTATTTTAAACTTTTCAAAATAGTAAGTTTATTTAATTTTTTAATTTTGAAAATTAATAATAGGTTAATTTAAATTTAAAATAAACCGAAAAATCGATTTTATATTTCTCTATTAATTAACAATTAATTAAATATATTAAATCATATAAGGATTAACTAATTAAATTAAGCCTAATCCTAACCCTTTAATTTTCGAAAATTAGGGTGTAGGAGTTATCCAATTTTATAATCATCACTTTTAATCAAATTAAACTAACAATTATCTAAAATAGGACTTATCCAAACGTTTTGATACCACTGATAGAATTAGGTACAACAAATAAACTAAAAACCCTTAAGTTTACATGCAACCTAAGGATCTATGTTTTTACTATTGAACCTATAACTAAGAACATCACATAATAAACCCTAGAATTCCTAAGCATATTTGGAAAATCATAAAGGATTTAGGTTTACATACCTTGTTGTTATTATAGTAAATAACAAAAATCCTTCACTTGTAGATCTCTTGAAAGCAAGCGCTACAATTATTGTGCCTCTAATGGTTCACACCCATACTAGCACGAAGGAAGACTGTACCATCCCAAAATATGGTCCAAAAATTTTGTTTTAAAATCATTTAAGAAAAGCATAATTTATCAAACATCACAGTAAAAATTATAAGTTATGTATATCAAATCATCATAATAAAATATTGTATCAAATCATATCCCAAAATATTGGATTTTATACATCCCTGGCTGAACGAATGGTGTGTGCACTGCAATCATCCCAAACTCTACCCTTTTCTAACAAAAGTACTTGAAACCAAAACTGAAAACTGTAAGCACGGAGCTTAGTGGTTCTACCCAAACTACCCCATACCATACGCATAACATATAACATACAACTAGGAGATTCGGGCCTCGCCACACTCAAGGAGATACGCCCCCTACCCACACTCGGCTAATAATGAGATACGGGCCTCGCCCACACTCAGCTATCTCAGAGATATGGGCCTCGCCCACAATCTATTGACTAGGAGGTATGGACATCACCCACGCTCCGCAATCTGGGAGATACGGGCCCCCGCCCACACTTCGCTAACTAAACATACATACAAGTATCACACAGATAACAAGTATAACTATAATCTACCAACTCATAAACATACTCAGATAATACTAAGATACGGGCCCTACCCACACTTAGCTACTAATCATAAACAAGTCTAAGATATGGGCCCAACCCACAATTAGCTACTAAACATAATAAATCTAAGATACAGGCCCAACCCACACTTAGCTACTCTACACGGGCCGACATTGGTGTCTTTGACACATTCCTATTGAAGGAAACTCACCTCGTATGCTAACTGTGAAATCTCATGTGAGGAATCCTCGACTACTACTCCAACGTCTCCCCGACTATCATTATCACAATAAGCACTTAGTCAAAAACTGAGAATCATTCTAAGGGTAAAATGGCCATTTTACCCCCTGGTCAAAGTCAACATTATGGGTTGACCCAACTCACTGAGTTGACCTATCAACTCGCCGAGTTCTATAACTCAAATATCCTGAAATCGAGATCTAACTTGCCGAGTTGCCCGGGCTACTCATAGTCTTGATTTGGAGAATGAAATCGACGAGTCCCTTCACGGACTCACCAAGCCTACCTTGTACAAAATCACAATAGCACGATTCAAATCGTCGAGTCCCTCTCTGGACTTGCGAGTTCCTTAGTCTGTTCGAGCCATCTTAAAGGGTTAAGTCCTCACTCTTCAGCTCCAAAGCCCATACTTCATCTATACACTAGAAATGTCATTTTAAGGGTAAAGTTTCCAACTTTACCCGCTAATAGTCCTTCTTAATGAGTTTAGCTAAAACCATAGTTATTTATGACATAGATCTTGGTACAAAAGCCACACTACCCCAAGATAACATACACTAACATAGATCTAGGCCTAAAATATCATTTGAACACGTAAGGTCTCTGACTTTCCTTCCATGCATGGCCTTTTGGGCTCAAAAGGCCAAACTAACACCTTAAATCTTGTTTGGGGGGCTTTAATGGAATTAAGTTTGCACCTTTATGCCTTAACAACCTTAATGATTCCAGATCTGAAGGGGTCCTTGCTTGGGACATCCATATCCCAAGGGTTAATCTTCTTGGACCCCAAAACCCAATAAATGGAAATAAAGAGATTTAATAAACTAATAGACAAGATAGAGGCTTGATTACAAGAAAACGAAGGCAATGAAATATTGCTTCTGGATCTATTATCTTCTCTTTGAACCTTCTAGCTCCTTCTTCTTCCTCAAGCTTCAAGAACACACAAAGATCACTCAAAATGGTTCAAAAGCTCACACACAACTCTAAGGTTTCTTGGATTAGGGTTTGGGACTTGGAGGCTGGAAATGAGGCCATAAGCTGGGGATTAAGATGCTTAAATATGGTGCAAACCTCCGAAATTAGGGTTTCACTATGACAAACCTACGCATCGAGTTAAGGGCTCTCAACTCGTCGAGCAGATTGCTTAAAAACCAGCGTCCAATCTCGTTTCTACTCGATGAGTCCGGGGCTCCCAACTCGTCGAGTAACTATACAAAAATGAATAAATTATAAATAAATATGTACCAGGGATTAGACGTTACAAAGACTAGAGAGAGGGGAGAGAATAGTATAATTTTGGCTATCTCTTTAGAATAATGATTCGCCGAAAATGCAAGGTTTATAGGTCCTCATATAGTGCAACCTAAAAACCATGGATAACCTTAAACCCAATATAATAATATTATCTTGAATTGATAATTATTCATTTAGAGATTAAAATCTTAAAGATCGATAAGATTCAAACAGGTAAGCAATAACACAATAATAATCAAGCAGATGTCGAATAATTAAAAGTCACACCTCAGCTAAACTCGATGAAGAATTTTCACTGTAGAGGCGTGTTAGGGTTACAAGATGAATCAAGAGTTAACTAAAATAAGAGGCATGCATGTACCATATATACTCTAACCCTAGAATTAAATACGGTAGGATAGTCCTAACCCGTTTACAAAACACAATAAATACAAAGCCCAATGATGCAAAAATAATACTCAACAATCTCCCCCTTTGTGTTAATTGACGCTAGAGTCCATCAGCAAGTGATTCACTTCTGCACTTCCTAGATTTTTGGAATAAGGTAGAGCAGCATCTTGCAAAGCTAAATATACCACATAATCATATCTGAAAAGCACTTGACATCATCCTCGTCGTTGCCCTTGAACTTGGTAATCAAGTCCAATACAAATTCCATAGATGCAATATTGTACATATGTTTGTCTTCGAGATAGAAGTAAGACTTGTGAAAGTCAGCTTATGTTTGTTCTCTGGACCGGTACACTACGAACAATCATTCCTTATATATCTTCCTTGGCTTTAATTTCTCTAAGTCTTTCGAAGCTTCCTTGGGAACGATAGTCGGCTTCTTCTTTAGAACTGCAGTAATATCCAAATCCATCAATCCAACTTCTTGAATATAATACTTGAGCATTATTTGGAGATGGGACATAACAGGTTAGTACTTCTCTTTCTCTCTCAACAACATGTTATAAAGTACGATCCAATCGTTTGGATTCAAACAGGGCAAGACTGCGAGGGTGAATTCGTAGGCTTGACAAGCCAAACCTTTCGCTACTTTGAACTTTGCATTGGGGAAGCTTTCAGTCTCAATTGGCCCAGTGAGCTATTGTTGGATAAGGTGTCTAAGTCCATAACTATATTTGATATGTACTTGACCCGGTTTAGCATGGTCCATTTGGGTTGCACTTCACCGGAACAATTTATACTTTTAAGAAGAGGATATGTATGATTTATTAATATATTATAAGTTATAATATATTAATATGAAATCATAATATTTAATTGGTATTGATCAATAATTAATTTGGAATTAATTTTGTGGTCAAAAGAGACTAATTAAATATATACAGATTGATTGTGTAAATCATTCTTTCTTATAATGTGGGCTAATGATCCATGATTCCTTATATTGGGCTAAACCCATGTGGTGACCCATGGATGCTCCATGGAGGTTCAAACCCATGGATCATGAGGAATGTGGAAATTCATGAGTTAGATTGTGTAATCCTAATGTGACCACTATATAAGAAGCCCTTTGGTTCAAGAAAATGGCACCCTAGAGCATACACAAGAGTGAGGCCAATTTTTGAGCTAGAGAGAGTCCTCTTCCAAGTTCCAAAGTGTTAGTGGTGATTTGTGATTCCACTTGAGGCATTCACATTATTGGTTCTAAGCTATTAAAGCTCCAAGCAATAAGCCACAACAAAAAGGTGTGTTTCCTAACTTGTTTTATTTACTATGTATAAATTTTTTTGAATGCTAGTTAAGGCAATACATTGGAAACTTCATGTTTGCATGTATAATAATGAAAGCATAGATCCAATGTATTTAGGGTTGGATGAATACCTTAGGAGTGTTAGGATGCTCAAAACCCTTCACCTTCACAACAATTATTATGTGCTCACTCTAAGTTTCATAGTGGGGCTTCATGTGCTTCAAGTAGAAGGAGAATAATAGTTGATCAGCACCACTGTCTGTGAAAGGAGCATTCACAACCTTCACGAAAGCATGAAACCTGAAAGATTTCAGAGTAATGGAAAGATCGGGTTGTGAATCCTGAGAATTTTGATGATTAAAGGATGCAACAAGATCCAACCAATACTGGCTTGGCAACTCTACAACATCATGTAGGATTGAGCTTCCTTTTCTGCCCTTTCCTTTTCCTAAGCCTCCTTGATGATTCGTTGAGTTTTATTCAATTCAGCATCACGAGCCTTTCGCCTTTTAAGTTCAGCTTCATCAGGGTCATCGTCTTCATCATCATCAATTATGGGCTCTTCTTCAATTAACTTTTCTTTGGTCTTAGGTTCTTTCTTGACAATGGGCTTAGCTGGGACTTTCAAAGGTTCAACTTTTCCAGATCCACCTTCTCCCCCTTGTTTTTGATCAGACCCTTGAGGTGAAACACCATGCATATGGTGAAACATCACAAATACAGGACTTAGTTTGTCAGCCAAGTGCTTGCGAACAGTGATAGAGATCATTGAGTCTCTGGTCTTAATGATATCTAAGAGCAAGCCAGTGACATCAAAAATGCAGCTTCGCACTTTGACCTTCTCTGTTTTCCTGGAAAGAGCATCCATAACCTTAATTTCCATCGCCAAATCATCCTGAAGCTTTGTAATTAGCAAAGTGAGGGATGTTTGAAACAAGGCATGATCCTGCTATAAGCCAGTGCGAATATTCTCCAAGTTTGTCTTCTCAGTTTTGAACATAGCAACCATGTTATGAAGAGCTTCATTCGCGGATGCAGTGTTGTTGTAGGTGGTTCGGTAATTCTCCATGACGGTGGTTGTTTCAGAGATTAGTTTATCGACTTTTTCGGTGTTGTTGTTGTAGGTGGTTCGGTAATTCTCTTCTATTTACAAAGTTATTAAGGTTTCTGTTAATATAGTATCTTGTTTAGTCATTTTCATAGTGCTCTTGACAATACATAGTGATCTTGATATTACCCTTTAAGCTATTTTAGTTTACACATCTAATTCTTAATAGGTTTCAAAATCATATCATCATGCAGCACGACAATTCTCCAATTAACTCTATTAATCTTTCTAACAACATTGGATAGCCAACAAGGATCCCAATTCTCTTTCCTAATGAATATGAAGTTTGGGCACTTCACTTTGAAGATTACGTTCTTGGTTTGGTGGACAATGGCTATCTCATCTGGGAAGCGATCGCACTGGGGGCTTTTGTTCACACTAGAACCAGAAAAGTTATTAAAACTCAAAAGGAATATAACCAGTTGTTCCTTGATGTAAAGGATGTTCCTCAGGATGAGAAAGAAAAGCTAATCAGCAATGGTAAAGTAATGAGGATCACTAGATTCGCTTTGCCCGCTGATACCTTTCGTCTAGCTAGTTCATGTGATACTGCTAAAGCCAATTGGGATAGGCTCAAGGAACTCTAATCCACTGATGCAGATCTTGAGCACTCCACTCAAACACTCTTGCTTTCAGAGTTTGGTGCTTTCGTACAAAATCCTGAAGAAAGCTTAAGTTCAACTTTCAATCGCTACAATCATCTTCTGAGTAAGATGATGAAACATGGTATTGGACGAGAAGTAATCAAACAGAAAGTTACATTCATGAACGGGCTTAGTTCTGAGTGGATGGCAGTGATTTCTACTGTCAAAGCGCATGAGCAATTTAAAAACTATTCCTTAGCCAAGCTAGTTGGGATTTTGAAGGCACACGAAAGTGAGGTGACAAAAGAAGTGAAAGTTGTTTCTGGAATCGGATATCTGGCTCTTGTTACGAAAGGCAAGACAGTTGTAGAAGATGAGTCTGAGTCTGATCAATCTGAATGTGAACTTACGAACAAGAAGTTTGGATTAATGGTTTCAAATCCTAAGAGGTTTGTAAAGCATTATTGAGCATAATTCCGAAGGTTTTTGAAGTACAAAAGCGAATCCAGAATTGATGTTCACTCGTCTCAAATGACGCAAAGGGGGAGATTGTTGGGATAATTATGTTTTGTCTTTGGGCGTTTTGTTTAAGTCTATCTTGTAAACAGGTTGGGCCTGTCCTCCCGTATTTTATTCTAGGGTTTGAGTATTTAAGATGCATGTATGCATCGTATTTTAGTTAACTCTGATATTATCTTGTAACCCTAAGCACACCTCTAAAGTAGCAATTCTTTGTCGACTTCTTCTGAGACGTGACTTTTAATCATTCAACATGTTTTGAATCATCGTTGTGTTCTTGGCTTTAATATGTTTGAATCTAAACGATCTTTTCGAGGATTTTCATCCTAACAACAAGGATAGCCAGACAACGTCTTCATCAGATAACTCATTAAGTGATTTTATTGATGTCATGTTGCAATTCAACAACTTTCACCGAATCTGATGCCAAGACCAATGGAAATATGCGGTTTTTGAATTGTGAGATCAATAAATAGGCTACAAAATACTCCCGGAACCGCAAACCCTTGACAAGGCAGAAAACTCTCTTTTTAAAACAATGTCATTAGTCATGAAATAATAACTACCTCCATAAACAATAAGTAATGGCATACTATTCGGTGTCATTTAACACCCATAGACACATGAACCCACCAACCAAAACAAGACGTCCAAAAAATTTGGGTTTGTATGTTGTAGCGACAATTGCGTCATATATATTGTCAGGCTGCAAAAATTTTAAAATTCACATACTGCCCCAGACTAGTAATTTTTTAGTTCTAGACTTGCTCTATGAGTTCCAGACGAGTTGTACATATTACGGACTAGGCTTGTTCTTCGATTCCATAGTGTTCTTGTTCCTGAGACTCATTTCTACGATTTCCCTTGTACTAATCGTTTCTTATACATATATAACTCAAACAAAAAGCTTAAATATCACCAACATCTACTTCAACTAAATTAATATTTCAAAATATAAAACACAATACATTCCGGTTCAAATAATAATCTAAAAATAAATTAATAAGATTAAAATAACCATACATACCACAAAAAAAAAAAGAGTTTTTCGCTATCAGTCCACATGTGTTTTGAAAATTGTTTGTTTGAGTTTCTGTAGTCCTAAACATTCAAAATGTAACAATGGTCCAGAATGCGATTCCGGAATGATTCTCTGAGATGGTATATATAAGGGGAGCATATTGTTAGAATCATTACTAGTTCAACCATAATCAACTTAAAAGAATAATGATGTTCTATTTTCTAAAACCGATAGAAATGATTATTCACTACCTTATATGTTAGTATTTATTTTAATTTTTTTTTCGGATGTGAGATTACATATTTACGGATGGGATTAAGCTTCTGGTGACCCTTATTAAACAAGTGTCCGAAATGTGTTTCGGACTATATTGTTAGTTCTTAAGAAAATGGTTCTTTTATAAAACTATTAGAAAATATGTTTACTCAATTTCTCTTAGAATGTATCTAGCTTACTTCTGAGTGATTGTTCGTCACCGTTCAGGTTGTTATCATGAAGATGATGACCACCGGCCCATATCCAGACACACTTGTACCTGCTGCCATGGATTGACACTCACTAACTTGTACACATGTACCATCTCTTACTTCCATGTGTTCTTCTTTCCATGCCATTCCCTCTTACATGTCACTCCCTCCTTCACCTTCTTCCTTCATAAAAACCTACCTCTCGTTCTCCATTTGCCACACCTTCATCAATGGCATCCAAAGCTTCTTTGATTCTCTCATTCCTCCTACTCCTCTCCACCTGCCTCGCCCGCCACCAGCAACAACAGCAGCAGCACCCGCAAAACCAGTGCCAGATTGGAAGAATCGACGCTCTTGAGCCGTCCGATAGGATCCAAGCCGAAGCTGGAGTCACTGAGTTCTGGAACGCCGATGAGAAGCAGTTCCAGTGTGCCGGCGTTGAGTTTCTCCGACACCGGATTCAACCTGGTGGACTTCTCTTGCCATCCTACGTCAACGCCCCTCTCTTGTCCTTCATCGAAAAAGGTGTTTTATTTTTCCTTTCCAGACTTTGAATTGGTTTAAGAATAGGAATTCATGGGTTGTTGACTTGTTCATCCGATCTCTACAGGAAGGGGTGTTCATGGGGTTATATTGCCGGGATGTCCAGAAACCTATGAATCTTCTCAGGAACAACAGTTTTCCGGTCAGAGTGAACGCAGAGGCCAGAAGTTTCAAGGGTTACAAGATCGCCACCAGAAAGTACGGAACTTGAACCAGGGAGATGTTGTTGCCATTCCCGCCGGAACAGCTCACTGGATTTATAACGACGGCGAGACCGAACTTGTTGCTGTAGTCTTCTTCGACACTCAGAACAGCGCTAACCAGCTTGATCAAAACCACAGGGTAGATGAATAATATTACATTACATTAAACTATTATTAATTACCAAATTTAGAACTAACTAAAAGATTCGAGCTTATAATTAAATGTTTCAGAGATTCTTCCTCGCCGGGAACCCTCAAGGTCAAAGCGAACAACAACAAGGTCAGAGACAACCACGCAGACAACAAGGCCAGTCCCAGCAGGAGCAGCCCTACCGCAATGCTGGCAATATCTTCAACGGTTTCGATGTGGAGTTCTTAGCAGAAGCATTCAACGTCAACAGGGAGACTGCTGAGAAGCTTCAAGGACAAAGAGACCAAAGAGGTCACATCGTTAACGTCGAACAAGATCTTCAAATCATCAGGCCACCGCAGACCAGAGAACAGCAAGAACGTGAACAACAGGGAGGACGTCAAGGTGGACGGAGCAACGGTTTTGAAGAAACCATTTGCAGCTTGAAGCTAAGCGAGAACATCGATAACCCCACCCACGCTGACTTCGTAAACCCACAAGCCGGCAGGATTTCAAACCTCAACAGCTTCAAATTCCCCGTTCTCCGGCAACTCCAACTCAGCGCCGAGAGAGGCGAACTCCACCCGAACGCAATTAAGGCGCCATTTTGGACATTAAACGCCCACAATCTTGTGTACGTCACCGACGGAACCTTGAGGATACAGATCGTGAACAACGCCGGGGAGTCAGTTTTCGATGATGAGCTCAGGGAGGGACAGGTGGTGGTGATCCCACAAAACTTTGCAGCGATCAAGAGAGCCGGTGAACAAGGGTCAAGGTGGATTTCTTTCAAGACTAATGACAACGCTATGGTAGCTAATCTTGCTGGTCGTGTATCGGCGCTCAGGAGCATGCCGGTGGATGTGGTGGCGAACGCGTATCAGTTGTCAAGAAACGACGCTCAGAAGCTAAAGTTCAGTCAGCAGGAGTCGCTTTTGCTTAGCCCCAGCACTTATTCTAGGAGCCAGGGGAGGGCTTCGGCTTAAGTAAAAGTCTCTGCACTGAGTTTAGGGTTTGAAAAATTAATAAAGGATGTAACAAGAGTTGTATAATAATGCAAGAGTAATAAGACCTTAAAACCTTTTAAATTTTGCTTATCTTTGCATGCTCTTAATTTTAATGGCAAATTGCAAATTGCATCTCTTATCATATTTTCATAAAGCATTTTTTTTATTTAATTATTAATTATTAGTAGTATAAATCATAAACTACTAATTCAATAGTATATATGCTCAAAATAAATCTAAACACTTGATTTAGGATAATTATTAATTACATCTATTTTTATATTTTTATATTTTCTAAGAC